GATGAATTCTCCAGTCTGTTCTGGGAGGTCCCGACCCAGACTGATGCCATTTGCCATGATGTCGAGTTGACGGACTACACTCCCATTCGCCTTCAACCCTATCGGATGAGTCCAGAAAAGAAGGCCATCATACGGAAGGAGGTCGACTTCTTGCTCCAGCACGGCCTCATCCGGCCGAGCCAGGGCTCTTGGTGCTCGCCCTGCCTTTTGGTCCCCAAACCAGACGGCTCATGGCGATTATGCACCGACTATCGGCAGCTCAACAAGGTGACCATTGTGGATGCCTATCCGCTGCCCCTCCTCGAGGACTGCATTGACGAGTTGGGAAATGCCAAGTACGTTTCGAAATTCGACCTCTCGAGGGGGTATTATCAAATCCCACTCACTGAACGTGCTAAACAGCTCACCGCGTTCGTGACACCCGAGGGTGTTTTTGAGTATCAAGTGTTACCGTTCGGCTTGCGTAATGCCCCTGCCACGTTCCAGAGACTCATGAACTCTCTACTCGCTAAGGTGCCAAATTGTCGGGCGTATTTAGATGATATCGTGCTGTTTGACAGTAATTGGGCTGACCACATAGCTAGGTTATGCCAGTTGTTTGCCATCTTGAAAAGGGCAAATCTTACCTTAAATGCTAAAAAGTGTCATTTTGGCCAAGGCACAGTGACGTACCTCGGTTATGAAGTGGGCCAAGGAAAAGTGTTACCTCGGCAAGATAAAATCAATGCCATTCTGGAGTATCCAGTACTAAAGTCTAAAAAGGACGTTCAAAGATTTATCGGTATGTGTGCGTACTATCGACGTTTTTGTCAGAACTTTTCCAGTGTTGCCACTCCTCTCACAGACTTGTTGCGGAAAGCCGTTAAATTTAAGTGGTCATCAAACTGTGCAGAGGCATTTAAAAATTTGAAATTGATCTTAGCTTCCGCCCCAGTGCTTGCTAGTCCAAGGTTCGACCGACCGTTTAAAATTCATGTTGACGCGTCTGACTCGGGTGCTGGTGCAGTGTTGTTGCAAACTGGGGATGATCAGGTGGAACACCCAGTATATTATTACTCTGTGAAATTCGACAAGGCGCAACGCAATTATTCAGTGGTAGAAAAAGAGGCGTTGGCGCTAGTGTTAACATGTAAAAAGTTCGAAGTTTACCTCACAGGTAATATAGTGGAAGTGTACACGGACCATAACCCACTAGTCTTCCTGACTCAGATGAAGGGTAAGAATAAACGCATCCTCAGGTGGGCATTGTACCTACAGGACTTCAATCTTTCCATTACCCACCTACCGGGCAGACTCAACGTGATAGCCGACGCTCTGTCCCGGTTGCCTGAATAACGTTCATCTGAGCCACAGAAAGTCATTTACCAACTGTCATGCTTTAGTTATTTTTTTTTAGGTTCTCCTGTGACATTAAATATTCCGTGTCCAATTTATTTACTTCCCTGTTCGTTTATTTCTGTTGTGTATGTTTTTTTTTTCTTTCAGAGAACTCCTTTGTATTTTTTTTGCAGAGAAATTGCTTTTGATTGATTTTTTGTTTTTGTCATATGTTTTTCTTTTTGTTCTCTGTATACTCTTACAAAAAAATATGACTACTATTCTAGTAGTCACATTTTTTTTTCTCTGAAGGGGGGAGGAGTGTTACGACCCTGGGTTCTCCAGTGGAAACCAGAGGTCAAAATTGAGCTATTAAACTTCCTGGTAGCACAGTTGGGCATCTAGAATGTCAATTGTTTGTATCTTCCCTGCCAGACGTAAGACTATTATTGTTTCTCAAAGAGCATTTAAAGACTGAGCTGGGGGTTGATTATTAAATAATAACATAGGCACCAACTTTGCTTACTAATACTTTCTAATCATTCATAAAGTAACAATACGTTGCATAGGGGAAGATCTTTAATGTGCTTAGCTGCACGATCAATTAGGCTCCTCCCGGCACCACAACATGAGGGAGGCAGCTGGTGGCTAGCTCGGTCTTCTCTTGGCTGGTGGCGTGAGGTTAAGACCTACTCTGTGGCTGTATCCCTACTCTCCTTCCTTCTCCTCTTACTTATTTCCCTTACCTGAAGTTCCTGTACCCTTAAGTTAAGTATTATATGGTGTAAGTGTGCCTACTCTGGTAGTAACGATTGGGGAGACCTGGGGATAGTATTTTGCCAGTGTTTGGGTACCCCTAAGTGTTGTGTTTTGTATTAGGGTCCCACGTGGTTTCACTACCCTAAGCTGCATCCAGCTTCAGTGCTTATCCAGTAGTACTTTACCCTAGCTTGTTATTAGTGTAAACCTTGTATCCTGCCTACGTGGACCAAGGCTTTTAACGTAAGATAGTGTGGTAAAGTTATTATTATTATTATTGTTATTGGTGTGAGTGTATATGGGGGGTTGTTAACGGGTTAATAAATAAGTACATGAATTACAGAGTATCTCTTCTTCCAAGGTGGGAGCGCAGTGATCAACCCTTAGACGAACATATTTGGTCTTGTAGCAAGTTATTACTACTGTGGATAGTTTATTTTGGGGGCCGGGCCTTTTAGCTCTCCCATATTTGATACTCCTGTCTTCTAACTACCTATACCCCTTAATAGTACCAGTACCCCATAGAAGCCCCACTCATATCATTTGTAACAAAGGGTATGAGGAAGTAGGAATTCATAGAGTTGAGGAAACTAGCAGCGTGAGGGTTATCAGGCTCGTAGAGGTCAATATTAAAGTCCCCCTAAATTATTAGTTGGATTTTGTTCAGTATTTTAGCTAGTATTAGATTTCTAAGGTTAGAATTGAATTCAGACACATCAGTGTTAGGAATTTTGTAGACTGCTCTCACAGTCAGGACAGCCTCGGCACCCTTGACTCTGAAACGGGCAAAGATATACTCTCCATAAGGGGGCATAATCTGGTTAAATTAAAAGTTGTTCAATTTGCTTATACATTTATTTATGAAATGGTTATAGAAAGGGCTGCAACTGGTCCAAGTTTCACCTTCACACCCTAAACAAAAAAGGAGAAAAAAAATACACAACGTATTATGCAACGAATTTTCAACATTTTCAAATAATCTCAGGGAACACTGATTTTAGAAGGTATACCGACCATTTTGAGGGCCACATTTTAGGGCCAACCTTTTTTGTCATATCTATCAATGACATAGATGAGAATATTACAAAGTACATCATCAGATTTGCAGATGGCACTAAGATCTATGGTAAAGTGGGAAGTGAAGTAATATTGAGACCATACAAGGATATCTACATGAACTCCACAAATGGCCAGATGACTTACAAATGCTTTTTAATGTTGATAAATGCAAGACCTTGCACGTGAAGAAAATTTTCACCAGATAGATGAAGAAAAGTCAGAATCAGAATCATTCAGAATCCATTATTCACTAAAAGTTGTACAAGTGGGAGCGGCAGTAAAAAAAGCGAACCAAACCCTGGGAATACTCAAGTGTACCTTTACCTTCTAGAACAAGAAAGTAGTCGTTCAATTGTATAAATCTTTGGTGCCCTCCCACCTGGATTATTGCATCCAGGCATGGAGACCTCATCTTCGGAAAGAAAGAAATAAATGTAAATAAATGTTTATTTAGGTCAGGTACATACATACAAGAGATTTTACAAAGAATGATGGAAAGACATAGCTGCTCCGGAGAAGGTGCAACACCGCGCAACAAAAATCATCCCAGAGCTTAGTCATCTATCATACCAGGAACGGTTGAGGGCCACAGGGCTAGCAACACTGCAAACCAGGCATGACAGGGAGGATCTCATCGAAACCTTTAAAATACTGAACAATTTGGAGGATGTTGATCCGGACAATTTCTTCAAAAAGGCAGATGTAACACGAACGAGGAGCAACGGGTTCAAGCTGAGCATGCCACAATGTAGTACATAAAACAGTTAGTTAGGTTAGTTCATTTATTATGCACCCCATACCCATCTTGTGGGCGGTAGTGGAAAGGATTACAGAGGCACATAATGGGCTCAGGGACTGAACCCCACAATTCATTTAGCTAAGCAAGTTACAATCTTGATGAGCTAGTTACAAAATTCAGTATAAGTCGTCACATCAACAATGGGTTCGAGATCGACCACAAGTACAGTTTCTAAATTAAGCAACTGACATATGTGGAGAGCTGCTGGTGTCACAATTGATATGTTTGTCCTGCACACCGACCCCCATCCAGTCGGCAGCGGTGGATAGGTTACGATCACTTAGTTACTACCTACAGTTAGCAAACTGGGGATATTTGGCTAAAATTTCTGGTAGCAGATCATTTTGAATGAAATATTGACACATCGTTGGTACATTGGTTATAGAATTGTCTCTAAATTCACGTATCTTTTCGCACTCCATCACATAGTGACGGAGGGTGTGCGAATAATTTTGTTGACACAGTTTACATTTGGTCAGGTCTATATCAGCAGATAATGAGAATTCCCAGAGATACTTGTAACCGAGTCTAAGCCGAGCAGTAGTAACATGTAGAAGTCTGCTGATTTTCTTGGATGAACCATAGATGTGTGGCTCCTCTTGCATTGTATGATGAAGAAATTGTATGATGATAGATGGAATTACTGGTGTCGATTTCACTTTGCCTCAGATCTACAAGATCTTGTTGAAGTTTTCGGTGTACTGCTGCTCTCAGATTGCTCATTGATAATCTAAGGTTACACTCAACATGTCCTTTAAAGGTACATAAAATAGAAGATGCTTTTTCACCCATAGGGGGATTAAACCCGTGGAACTGCCTACCCGCCGAAGTCGTAAACGCCAAAACCCTGCTGGGTTTTAAAATGCAGCTGGAAAAGATTATCGGGGCAAATCGGGGGACCCTTGACAAGCCGCCGGCTTCCTTTCCTCACTGAGGCCACTAGTATTAGTGGTCCTCAGGTAAATTCAGGTAAATATATGGTAGCCCTGAGGTAAATCCAGGGAAATAGATCGGAGTACCAATATGGCGTCCAAATGTCGTCAGCCACGCTGTTATTTGGCGGTATTAAACCCTTACCGAGATATTGAGCTCCGTGGTCAACAGACAGACGACGTCCCCAGCTGACGCAACGTTCCCCCCGCCAGGCTCGTGTCCACATTCATACGTAACAAAAGCCTTTATTATGAAAGTACAAGATGTTCTCGCCTGTAGTTTCCCGTCGTGGTACGATAAATTTAAAAAGTGCACAATCAAAAGGTTAGTGAGGTTGAGAGTGAGTGTTTCAGAGTACAACTGCTTGGGGCTCGGGGACTACAGCTGCCTGGGGCTCGGGGACCACAGCTGCCTGGGGCTCGGGGACTACAGCTGCCTGGGGCTCGGGGGACACAGCTGCCTGGGGCTCGGGGGGCCACAGCTGCCTGGGGCTCGGGGGACTACAGCTGCCTGGGGCTCGGGGACTACAGCTGCCTGGGGCTCGGGGACTACAGCTGCCTGGGGCTTGGGGGCCACAGCTGCCTGGGGCTCGGGGACTACAGCTGCCTGGGGCTCGGGGACTACAGCTGCCTGGGGCTCGGGGACTACAGCTGCCTGGGGCTCGGGGACCACAGCTGCCTGGGGCTCGGGGACTACAGCTGCCTGGGGCTCGGGGGACACAGCTGCCTGGGGCTCGGGGACCACAGCTGCCTGGGGCTCGGGGGCCACAGCTGCCTGGGGCTCGGGGGGCCACAGCTGCCTGGGGCTCGGGGGACCACAGCTGCCTGGGGCTCGGGGGCCACAGCTGCCTGGGGCTCGGGGACCACAGCTGCCTGGGGCTCGAGGTCCACAGCTGCCTGGGGCTCGGGGACCACAGCTGCCTGGGGCTTGGGGACCACAGCTGCCTGGGGCTCGGGGACTACAGCTGCCTGGGGCTCGGGGGACTACAGCTGCCTGGGGCTCGGGGGCCACAGCTGCCTGGGGCTCGGGGACCACAGCTGCCTGGGGCTCGGGGACCACAGCTGCCTGGGGCTCGGGGGCCACAGCTGCCTGGGGCTCGGGGACCACAGCTGCCTGGGGCTCGGGGGCCACAGCTGCCTGGGGCTCGGGGGCCACAGCTGCCTGGGGCTCGGGGGCCACAGCTGCCTGGGGCTCGGGGGCCACAGCTGCCTGGGGCTCGGGGGCCACAGCTGCCTGGGGCTTGGGGGGCCACAGCTGCATGACTCTGGGCTACAGTTACTAGGCTTGGGGGGGGGCTATGTTTGAACTACCTTTGGTACAGCTGTGAGACTTTAGGTCAGGTTGGGTGGGATAAGTGGCTGAGTTATCCCTTTTGAGCAATATTCGACCATTTCTTTGACTCAAGTTTCGTTCAAGTCCATCTGCTTATTTTTATAGACAGCTTGTTTATAAATTTTTAACATATTCTCTCTCATGGATTACGTTATATTGAATATTTTCTATATGGACATTTATATAAATTGATAGGTAAATCTAATTACCAAAGTTGTCACCCAGTATCATGTCAATTATTATGTAAATAAAATCTAAATGAAACATTGCATGTTATGTTATCCAGTTGGGTCTGGATCGGGTCGGATCTGGCTTCGGCGGATGGTTTGGTTTCTTCGGGGTCATCACTTCCGCCGCTCTCGTGATCGGTGGGTTCGGATCCCGGGAACCTTGCGTCGGCTGCTGCGTCGCTGGGTTTTTCGGGGTTCTGTGCCGTGGTGCTTCCCTGAGCCCTTGCTCGATGTACAAATCCACAAGGGCCATGACGAGGATTCGAACCTGCATCCGGGAGCATCCCAGATCTAGACCTTTCTAGATTTAGATCTAGGTTTAACCTTTAACCTAGAGTAAAAGGTACTCTTTTAACCATGTCGTAGCTCAGTCGATTAAGGCAGCGTCTGGGATGCTCCCGGACGCAGGTTCGAATCCTCGTCACGGCCCTTGTGGATTTGTTCATTTGATGCATCACGTTATTGTGATTTCTGTGTGTAATGATGTAAGGGCAAAGAGGGAGAACGGCCTATTGACATAGCTCGAGTGCATGGGGGAGTTGTGTAAAACCCTGGTTTGTGTCTCGGAGAGACTGCGGGATCCAGTAAGTTCAGTAGAACTTCGGTTTCAACTCTTCTAACTATGTCATAGCTCAGTCGATTAAGGCAGCAGCTGGGATGCTCCCGGAGGCAGGTTTGAATCCTCGTCATGGTCCTTGTGGATTTGTTCATTTGATGCATCACGTTATTGTGATTTCTGTGTGTAGTGTCTTGCTCGATGTGTTCACGGATGCCTCGTCTCTTGGCTGGGGTTTTGTGACAAGTGCTTACCAGGCGGCCAGGGTTGGTGGGGTCCGTCTTTCCGTCAAGCTCACAGCACGACACGGGAGTTTGCGGTGGTGTGGCATTTGCTTCAGAGGATTCGTGTCGCTCGAAGAGCAACGGTCTGGCTCCATTCATACTGCTCCCCGGTGGTTCATTGCCTGAACCGCAGGGGTTCGATGCGGTCCTTGGTTCTTTGGGTCTGGTCGCTTTGGGTGACTCGTCTGCTGAGTTCTCGGGGTTTGGCTTTCCTGGCAGTTCTTGTTCAGGGGGGTGTCAAACGTCCTGGTGGATGGCCATTCTCGGTTCATTCCCCTTTCCACGGAATGGACGATCGACGCCGACTCGTTCAGTTAGCTCTGCCAGACGTATGGGCGCCCAGAGGTGGATCTTTTCGCATCGGCGTGGTCGAGGCATCTTCCAGTTTATGTGGCGCCCTTCCCAGACTGCAAGGCTGTCGGGGTCGATGCTTTTTGGCTGGACTGGTCGGGTGGAGTTACTGTACCTCTTCCCACCAGTCTGGTTGTTGCTCCGGATCCTGGCTCGGTTGGAGACTTACCAGGGGAAAGTAGTCCTGTTGGCTCCTTGATGGCCGGCCTAGCTCTGGTTTCAGGTGCTTCTTGCTCGATGTCCGAGCAAGATGTCCGAGGGTCTTCCCACAGCTCTGCCTCTTTCAGCAAATCGGTCCGATCTGGTACGTGGCTGGTACGATCTTCTCCTCCATTCTTCGCGTCTGGTCTTTTTGATGCGGGTGTATCGCCACTTGTATGGTGATCAGGTGGCTTCCTTGATAGTGTCCCACCTGCGAGTTTCGTCTAGACGGATTTTATATGGCAGTATGAAATTTCATGGCGGTCCTTTCGGCATTTTTTGTCTCTTCATAGATTGTCTTCGATTTCTGATCATGTTGTTTTGTCCTTTCTCTCTTGGTTATTTCAGTACCGTCATCTTATGCCTAATACTGTCGCCTCGTATCGTGCGGCGCTGGCGGAGCCGCTGCAGCTTGCATTCTGGGTTGATGTCATTTCTGCTCCGTTCCGCAGGCTTTCTTGGGCGTTTTTTCACCGCCGGCCTGCTCATGCACCGCCTGAGCCGTCCTGGTCGTTGGACCGGGTGCTCTCTTTTCTCTCTCCTCCTTGGTTTGTGGTGGTCTCCTTGGTTCAGGACTGTTTTTTTAAGTCTCTTTTCTTGTTGGCATTGGCTTCTGGGGGTCGGGTCAGGGAGCTTCATGTTCTCTTCCGGTGCAGGGGTTTCTGCTTTTTTTTGTCCAGGTGGTCGTTTCGTTTGTTTGCAGCCTTCTCCTTCTTTACTAGCGAAGAATGAGTCTGCTGCTTTCCGGAGGGGTCCTTGGATTGTTGATACTTGGTTGGTTCAGCCAGGGGTACATCATGTTTTTTGTCCGGTTGCAGCTCTTCGCCGTTATCTGTGCGCCATGGCCTCTGTGTCAGGGGACGCACTTTAGGTGGACCCAATTTTCCTTCTTTCCTGTTCCAGAGAGCGGATCTCCCAGGTCGTCCGCAGGATTATTCGGTCCAGCCAGCCTGTGGTCTATCCCTGTGCCCACGACGTTCGTAAGTTCGCGGCTTTGGCTGCTGTTTTTGGGAATATGTCCTGGGCTGACATTCGGGGACGGGGCTTTTGGAGGTTGAACAGGGTCTTGGCCGCACGGTATCTCGTTAACATTCCTGGCCCTTCTCGGACGTGTGTAGCCTTGGGTCGCAGGTTGCAGCCAGTTGTCTCGACTTCGAGTTGAGGAGCGAGTGACGACCGCCTCCCGGTTAAGTCCCTCTTTTTCTTTATCTTTGGTTAGGTATCTCCAGGGAGCCAAAGGGGCTCTCCACAGAAACCCAGTGTTGAATGTAATGAAACGCCATTTTCTGGGTGAGACCCAGAGGTTTCCCGGCATCCCTCCCTCTCTCTGGTCAGCGTTATTTTTTCACGTTTTTGATACTCGGCTTCTGAACTGAGGAGAGTTGCCGGTGTGGAGGTCTGAGATCCCCCAGCCCCCTCACGGGGAGAAGGGGGCTGCACAGACAGATGCGCGGCGTTTGTGGTAACGTCATACTTGTTTCCATGGTTTTGATTGGGGAGTTCTGTTGCTAGTTCGGTTTTTAGTTTGCAGTTTATTTGATCAGCAGTACAGTAATTTGTTTTGGAATTCCTACCTTTCTGGGTGCCTGACCTGGTAGATGGCAGACAAAGACTGCTTCCAATTGCACGGGGGTGTCTTTAGGCCATTGCTCCTCGTGCCTCTCTTGAGGGGGGGTCAGGTTCTGGCTCTGGTCCCCGGTAGGCCTAGAACTCCTTCGATTGACTGTTGCAACGGTCTAATATATACACATCACCCCGATATAGCTCCGGGGAGCCTCCGGGTCTCGCCCAGAAAATCGCATTTCATTACGTTCAACGCTGATTTTTTATGGTGGGTGCTTTGTTGCTCCTTTTCAGGGGCTTCAGTTTTCATCCTCCTGGCTAAATGACTGAGGCTGTCAAGTTGAGGGACTGCCAAGCTAGGCATGTGGCCATCTGGTGACATGCAGGTGTAATTAACAAGTGAGCTGCTTTATGACAGGGTCCTTCGCTTGGTTCGGTGTTTTGTTTTCTTGTTTTTTAGGATTTGCTTACCTTGCTGATTGTCTGTTTAGATTTGCTCATCTTTTTGGATGACTTGATTAGGGTGATCTGTATTCCTTACTCCTTGTATCTCTATAGAAGGGGGGCCAGATTTTGACTGCTTGTTACTGGTAGGTTTATAAGGGCTTGCAGTAGCCTAACATAGATTGAATTGGGTGGAGCCATCCACGTTGCTAGCAATAAGAAGTCTTCAAGAACCCACCAGAAAAAAGTTTTGCATTATATTCAACACTTTTTTTATTTAATCTTACAAAGTGACAAGAACCACCAGGGTCAACTTACTAGTTTTCATTATATAGTATGTCCAAATTTTATTCATAAAATATAAAAAGAGTAAAAATGACTAAATTCACTGCTAATATCTAAAATGATAATTGGTGAACTAGATTACAACTGATGTAAATATCCATTATGCAATATATGTTGTAAAACAGTGCTATAAGTTTTACATGCAAGAAGGTAAAGTGATGTTCTAATATTTACCAGCATTGTAATGCCCCTCACACAAGAGGTTCTGGCCTATATGCAAGATAACGGGACGTTAGTACTTCCTGAAGGTTCACAGCCTGAGCCATCTTACAAAAGAAACAAGGAGGAGGAGGAAGACGAAGCAGATGCTGATGACTGGGCTCAGTGCGAGTTATCAGACTCGTGTGTCAAGGTGAGATTCTGCTTTTTTGTAGTTCAAGTAACTCTTCTTGCCAAACAGCTTTAGTGATATGAGAAGTTTTAAATCAAAATTACTTTTATAGTGCTGTACAGGACAGCCACCAACTTTTTGAAAATGTTTTGCCAATTACTGACTTTCTCAAGAGTAACACAACCTTTAATCCCAACAAGATATTTAGCAAAATTGTCTTGAGCTATGCAGGCATTTTGATTCCGTATGGTATAGTTATTGCTTGTGATTTTAACTATAGTAAAAAAAAATCTTCATTCTTTGTGAAGGTAAGAATAGCACTGTATTGGAAACAAGAATTTGTGATCAGTCGTGCAGGAAATAATTCTTGTATCTGCTTCATAGAACTTTTTCAAATGTCCCGTCATGTTTCTATAAGGTGTGAGGGACCAACTAGATTAAAGTTCAGTCCAGCCCAGTATGATCATCAAAAGTATTTCCACAAAAACTCAATGGCTTACCTAATCCACACATGACCAGGCCGACGGCACCGCTCCTGTGCCAGGTAAGTCCACTACGGGCTCACTATAGCCTGTGCTATTTGCCCCGCTCCTGTGCCAGGTAAGTTACGTGCTCACCATAGCCCGTGCTACTTGGAACTTGTTCCGAGTAGCTGAATCTATAACAACAACACACATGACATAACAAGTGAGCACCAAGTGAGATTATAACTGCTTGTTTACCTACCTAGCCAAAACTAGTCCACTTCTTTTAAGTGGCAAGAATAATGCTTGTCCATGGTTCCAAATCCCAAGTCATGTCACATTTTCTAACTGACTGTCCACTACTAGGTGAAAGGAGGCATCAGGGGAAAGATTGCCTAAAGGCTTCTGTTCCACTGCAGGAATTGAACCCAGGACTGTTTGGCCGAGACCCAATGATGGTTACCGCTGTGCCACAGGACCATAATCAGCTTTATTTCCCTAATTTAATACCATATTTAGCAACTATTTCCTGTGTGGTCAGGCCAAGTATTAAATACTTTAAGTGTACTGTACTATTATAATGTTTACCACAAAAAGTAGAATATACAAGTAATTTATATTCCTTAGTAGTAAGTTTCTAGACAACTGTATATCATTACTAAATTTTCAGAACAGATTATCTCAGGAAATGCCTGGGATAGTCAGTCTCTCCTCCCACCCCTCTTCTCCCATCTTCTCCTTGAACCCACTCGTTCCCATCCCCTTAGTCCCCCTTTCCCTTTGTCCCTCCCCCCATCCTCCCCATTCCTTCCCATCCCCACCTTCTCCCAGAAAATGTATTACAGTATTAAGGATTGAAACAACTGTATGGGCCTCTAATTTCCAACCTTTGTCCTCCCCCTACACTTCCCTCTTTTTCCCCTTCTCTCAAACAATATATTATTAAGATATCAAATGTATCTCAAACAATATACAGTATTTATATGGCATGGGCATGGATCACTAATTCCTCTTGAGTTTAAGTAGTAGTCAGGGAAAGTTGAAAATTCTAGTTGAAAACTCCAATTGAAAAGTCTGTTTGAAAGTTGAAAACTCAGCTAAAATCCTAACAGGGAAGGGTGTTTCTCCTGGCCTTATTGTGGCCGGCTCAGCCTTGGTTTCAGGTGCTGTTTGCTTGGTGTCCGAGCAAGCAGCACTAAGACACCCGGGAGTCTTTCCACGGCTCTGCCTCTTTCAGCAGGTCGGGCTAGTGAGTTATCTTGCTGGTTCAACTCATTCTTCTGCTCTTCGCTTCAGTTTTTTTTTTTTGTGCTGGTGTATCCCCACTCGTTTGGTGATCCGGTGGCTTCCTTGCTAGTGTCCCACCTGCAGTCTTCATCTCAGCGACAGTATGAAGTTTCCTGGCAGCTTTTCTGCCATTTTCTTTCCCTTTGGAGAGTGTTGTCTGTGTCTGTCCTGTTTGTCCTTTTCTGGGTTTTGTCCTTTCTTTCTTGGCTCTTTCAGGACCAGCATCTCATGCCGAATATGTCGCTTCCTATCATGCGCCGTTGCGGAGCTGCTCCAGCTTGCATTCGGGGTGAATATCACTTCTGCTCCGTTCCGCATGCTCTTCCATGCATTTTTTCACCTTTGGCCTGCTCATGTGCCGCTTGAGCCATCCTGGTTTTGGACCGGGTACTCTCTTTTCTTTCTGCTCTCTTCCCTTGTGCCCATGATGTGCGTAAGTATGCTGCTCTGGCCGCTGGTTTTAGTAAATAAATAAATAATAAATGTTTATTCAGGTAAGGTACATACATACAAGAGATTTTACAAAAATTGATCGATTTATAGATAGAGCTAGTACATACAATGCCTAAAGCCACTATTACGCAAAGCGTTTCGGGCAGGAAAAACATTAGTGACTAAAAGATAACATTAGTAATGCTGTATGTCTTGGATCAATGTTTGGGAACGGGGGTTTTGGAGGTTGAATAGGGGTTTTGGCCGCCAGGTATCTTGTTAACGTTCTGGGCACTCTCCTACAACATCGGTGACTGAATGTTGTCTTGTGCTCAGAAAGCTTTTCACATTGACTTTAAACCTTAATTATAAATGTGTTGCATTTCCTTGCTGTTAATTTTGTTAAGCTGCTTTGCATTTTTTTTTTTATATATTTGTATTTTTAATGAACTTTTATCATGTTTATAGGCTCCTAGGCTAGAGGAGTACAGTGCCAAGATTAAAGATGCTATCAAAAAGCTTGGTGGAAGTGTCTTTCCCAAACTTAATTGGAGCTCCCCTAAGGTAAGATAATATATTGGAATACATATTATATGTAAGTCACCAGTCTTTAGATATTTGAGAAAGTTATTGACATTGTCAGTGGAATAAGAGATACTCTATATTAGGTTTAGTGCAAAATTTGTAGTACAAACAACAGGAGACATTTTCCTATAACATGAGATTGAAATGGACTGTGTATATATATGCAGTACACAATTCACACTGAATTCCATTTGTCAATGGTGCTCTACACATTTATTTTCTTTAGGTCATTTAGAAAGGCATGACAATCTTCTAAGTCTCTTATCATCCCTAATAGCTTAGCATCATTAGCAAACATATTCATATAATTTTATGTTCCTTCCAGATGACTGTTTATGTAAATGATGAACATTATATGTGTAAGAACTGAACCCCTGTGGTACTCTACTAGTAACACAATTCCAGATTGATACATTGGCTCTGATTACCGCCCTCATCTGTCTGGCAGTTGAAATTTTTTTATCCATGGCACCAGTCTCCCTGTCACCCCTTCAGCATGTTCCAGTTTCCCAAAAAACCTCTTGTGTGGGACTGTCAAAATACTTTCTAGGGCCTAGGGCCTACCGGGGACCATAAAAAATAAAAAAAAATAAAATGTTTATTTAGGTAAGGTACATACATACAATAAATTTTTACAAAGACTGGTTGACTTATAGGTAGAGCTAGTACATACAATGCCTAAAGCCACTATTACGCAAAGCGTTTCGGGCATTGAGCCAGAACCATGAGCCAGAACCTGACCCCCTCAGAGAGGCAAGGGGAGCAATGGCCTATAGAAACCCCTGTGTGGTTGGAAGCATTCTATGTCTGCTATTGACTGAGTTAGGCACCCAGAAAGGTAGGTGTCCCAAAACAAACCCCTATTCTGGTGAAAAATGCAACCAAAAGCCGAACGAGTAGATAGAACTCTCCAAACAAAAACGAGCAAACTAGTATGATGTCATTCGTCGTCGCGCCGCTGTCTGCGCTGCCCCCCCTCCCCGGGACGGGGAAGGGGGGCCCCTTCCTACCGCGGCGGCGATCCACACCCCAAGTTCTTCGGCTGATGCTATAGGCACCGGTTGTGTGCTCCGGCTCCAATAGTTGTTTCAGCACTGTACCTAGAGTGTGGTGTCTGTCTTCTAGGTGGTGCGTGAGCCAGGAGTGAGTCTCCAGTACTCGGGCTGCATGCGCCTAGGGTTCCCTTCCCTAGGTACCCTGTAAGTACTGCCCTTGGGGCTTAGGGTTACCTTCCACAAGTTCCTTGGGTCCTGCTTCTGCTAGGCCGTTTGCTGCTCGGTTTTCGGCCACCCTTTGTGTGATGGGGGTTCTGTCTCCGTTGTTCGCCTTAGGGTAAGGGGCAGTTTTGCACTGGTGGGGCGCAGGGTACTGTGCAGCTTGTCTTCACCAATCATAGCGGCTGGCTCTGTTCCGCCTGGGTACGCTGTCCTCTTGTGGATTTTCTTTCTCTTTTTGTTTGTCTACCTGGTGGGGGCTCTGCCTTTGATTCTTTCCCCCTTTGTGTCGAGTTCTTCTCTTTTTCTCTCCTCTCTGTGTCTCGGCGCTGCTCATTTTCTTTCCGTTCTGATTCTGCATGCCGGTTTGGGCTACTTGTAGCCGGTTGGGCTACTTGTTGCCGGTTGGGCTACTTGATGCCATGTTGGGCTACTGGTGGCCCGCTTGGGTTCCGTTTTGGTTCTTTGTTTTCCTTACATGGGCCGGCTACGTTGGTTTCTGTTTCTATGAGTTGGCCTGTTTCTTCAATGGTTCGCTCAGGATACGACCCGTTGAGCTACTTTTCTGCTCTGTTGTTGGATGGAGTAGGATGGACCTGTGTAGCCCAACCTGTTAGGCTACTTTTTAGTGTCCTGCGCATGCGCCATGGGAGTTTGTTTTGGTTCCAGTCGGTGTGCACACGTGCTGGTGTTCTGCGTCCTTTTTATCTCGGGGGCTTCGCCTCTTGCTCTTGTCATTTTCCAGTCCATGCCCCATTGCTCTTGGGGGTGTTCTGGAATGCCGCTGTGGGGAAGTCACGAGGTTTTTCCCTGCGTTTTCGGGTGGGGGAGCCTCCTTCGCCGCTCCCCTCCTCCTCTCTGGCATGAGCGCCCTGGCCGCCTCCGGCGGCTACGTTCTCATAGGCTTGCGTCATGGCCCTTCCGTGCCTATGTTCTGCAGGTGAGTTGGTGTGGTCTGGCATCTTCTTTGTCCTGACGCTGTTTTTGTTTTTGGGAGTAGGAATGGGTGTACATACGTTATCTTGAGGTTATCTTGAGATGATTTCTGGGCTTTAGTGTCCTCGCGGCCCGGTCCTCGACCAGGCCTCCACCCCCAGGAAGCAGCCTGTGACAGCTGACTAACACCTAGGTACCTATTTGATTGCTAGGTAACAGGGGCATAGGGTGAAAGAAACTCTGCCCATTGTTTCTCGCCGGCGCCTGGGATCGAACCCAGGACCACAGGATCACAAGTCCAGCGTGCTGTCCACTCGGCCGACCGGCTCCATAAAACCTACGTACTTGAGACCGTAGAACAAAATACAAAAAAAAAAAAAAAAGAGGTGCCTGCTGCAGGGCTATTGGCCCATACGTGGCGACTTTTGTTCTCACCATCCGATTCCTTCCTCGCATCACAGGTGACTGCAGGAGGCCTCTTGGCCCATGCGAGGCGGCTCCTGCCCGAACTCATACTGCCCCTCTCCTATGCTTGTCTCACCATGCTTGAGTTCGGGGCCCCGTCTTCACCTTGTTCCACGGTGCACTGGTGGAGGTGCCTGTTCGGTGGTACGTTTTTCTGTGTCGAGGGTGTTCTATGCTCGTCTCATTGAGCTCGCCTAATTATGCTGCGGGGTTGGGCTCTGCCTCTTTGGTTCCGCCTCTCGCCTATCGTTCGCCTGACGTGTGGATTCTCTGCCTCCTGGGCTCTCTTGTCTCTACACTTGGGGCTGTATATGCGGTCAGCCCGGGTGTGGGCTGCCTACTGTGTTCCTTCGATTGCCTGTTGCACTGCACACGTTTCTTCTCCTGTCCTTGTGGCTCGGTTGGGTACTCGGTTTCCACCTGTGTCCCCTTGTTGCGTGCCACTCGTGTTCCAGTTTATCTTTATCTTCCCTGTCGCTTCCTCTGGGAGTGTAATTACCTAAGTGTAATTACCTAAGTGTAGTTACAGGATGAGAGCTACGCTCGTGGTGTCCCGTCTTCCCAGCACTCTTTGTCATATAACGCTTTGAAACTACTGACGGTCTTGGCCTCCACCACCTTCTCACTTAACTTGTTCCAACCGTCTACCACTCTATTTGCGAAGGTGAATTTTCTTATATTTCTTCGGCATCTGTGTTTAGCTAGTTTAAATCTATGACCTCTTGTTCTTGAAATTCCAGGTCTCAGGAAGTCTTCCCTGTCGATTTTATCAATTCCTGTAACTATTTTGTATGTAGTGATCATATCACCTCTTTTTCTTCTGTCTTCTAGTTTTGGCATATTTAATGCTTCTAACCTCTCCTCGTAGCTCTTGCCCTTCAGTTCTGGGAGTGTGGTGAGTGTGGTGATGCGTTGCTGCGGTTGTGATGCTGCGGCTGCATGTAGGGGTCTGGTTGTGGCGTTTTGTTTGGCCCTTCCGTGCTCCTTCTGGCACCTTCCTTGTTGGGATTTTTTGTTCCCTTGCTTTTTTGGGACCTTTCTTCCTTGCCGGTCTTGCTGTGCCGGGCCTGGTTTTTTCCATGTTCCTTGGATTCTCTGTCCTAACCTTGTTTGTCCTGGCCGCTGGTAATTACCTAAGTTTGTCCTGGCCGCTGGTGCTGGGGTGTTTCTGCTAGTCTTTTTATCATTTCCTTCTTCACACTGTTGTGTGTTCTGTTTGTGCCTTTTGGTCATCTTGTTGCCAGGTTTGCTTTCCTGTTTTCCTGGCTTGCCCTGCCTGTTTTTTTTTTCAGGGTCTTGCGATGTCCCTTCTCTGGTGTCTCACGTCAGACCCGTGGTTTCCGTTCCCTGGCGAGCTTGCTTGTGTTGGGGGAGTTTTCTGTTCGGCGGATGTTCCATCTCCTTCTTGCCGGCTTGGGCTTCCGGCTCTGCTTCCTTGGTGGTCGCACCCGAGATCTTCCTGCAGCGCTGCCTCTTCCTAGGCTCGGGTGACCCTTGGCAGTGCTGATTACGTTCTGCCTTGGGGATCTCGCGTCCATTGGTGGTCAGGTGACTTCGTTGTTGGTGTCCCACCTGTGTGCTTCTTGGCGGCAGTACAGGGTGTTTTGGCGGTCCTTCCTTTTCCTTCTGTCCCTTCTTTGGTGGCTGCACTTGTTGGCGTCGGCTTGGCTTTTCTGCTGGAGATTGTGGGCCGTCGACTTGCCGCATACTGTCGCCTCGTTTTATGCGGCGCTGACGGAGCCGCTTCGGCTTGCTTTCGGATTTTCCTCTGCGCTGTTCGTAAGCTGTCTTGTGCTTGTTTCACCTCCGGCCTGTTCTTGCACCGCTTCAGCTGTCCTGGTAATTGGACAGAGTGCTCTTTTCTTTCTTCTCGTTTTCTTGTGGCCCCTTTGGTTTCTGTTTGTTTTTCAATGGCTCTTTTCCGGTTGGCATTGGCCTCTGGGGGTCGGGTAGGTGAGAAAAACGAGCAAACAAGCATGATGTTCGTTTGCTCGACACGGCCGCACCGCATGTCTGCGCAGCTCCCCCCTCCCTGGGAGGGGGGGGGAGGGGGAGCCCCAGACCCCCCGCCCCGGCAATCCCCACGCCAGTTCTGAGGCTGGATATCAAAAAACGTGAAAAAACGCTGACCGGAAGGAGGGAGGGTTGCCGGGGAGCCTATGGAACTCACCCAGAAAGTGGCATTTCATTACATTCAACGCTGGTTTTCTGGGGTGGAGCCCCTACGGCTCCCGGAGCTACTTCACCAAAGACAGCAGAATAAAATGGGGACTTACCAGGGTGGTGGTCGGTGCTCCACTCTTCAACTCGAAGTCGAGACAACGGGGTGCAACCGCGGACCCAAAGCAACACAGGCCCGACTAG